ACATTGCTTCATATATTTTGAACACATATGTTATCTAATATTTGTACTCTTTGCATGCAGTTATTTCCTTCTTTTCATAAAATGTTAAGTTTTCATATTTGCAATATTTACTGTTAGTTTCATTTCCTTATTGTACATTTCATTTCATTCTTATTCATTATGTGTAATGTTCTCATCGTATGTAAGTTGAAATCAATACAGTTGTAATTACATTTCTATCTCATGAGACATTTCTTTATCTACATGTTTGTAAACCTTTGACATAGTGCAATATAAATTTAAATTGACATGTACATGCTTGAACATTTGAAATTGTTAGGAACGCACAATATTCTTGGCGTTATCCGTTCATCACAAGAAAATTACATGATATTAATAATTGTTAACTTTTTATTTCCTTTTACCGTTTTATTAATTGTTATTTACCTTTTTCTTTGTTTATGTTATCTGTTAAACATTTTATTAAGTATATCAATAACAAGAAGTATACTTTGCAGTTAGGTTACATCAAGATGGTTTGGAAGTGCTGCGTACCTGAGTGCAAGTCTTCGTGGGAAATGCCAGTCCATCGTTTTCCTGTGGATCCTGCCAGGATAGAACGTTGGCTGATAGCCATACATAAAACTGATTTGATTGGTAAGTGCAAAACATGCAGGTGCACTTTAGGTGCTTTTTCATGTGTCAACAAATAACTAATTGTAGCATTATATCAATTGACAAGTGCAGTTAATTCTTTTCTTCCTTTATAATTATGGAAGTTTTCCTACAATAATACTAAATATAAGCTGTTATATTAGAGGTGCAAATGCTAAGGAAACATTGGCGAAATTAAGAATTTGTACGAAACATTTTTCTGAAGATATTGTACTGCCTTATGGGCGTAGCCGACGCTTAACCGATAATGCAGTACCAAATTTAAATTTGCCTTTAGACATTGTTGAGCATGTTAATGATAATGTAGTTGTAAACGTAAATTTTGATGAGCATGTGAATTTAGTGGAAAATGTTCCGGACAATTCTGATTTTGTGCCACTGCCCATTGTCATGGGTGAAGAGGACATTCTACCGGAAAGAAGAGATCATCGCATGCTGAGAAGAAAATTGAGGACACAACAGAAGATGCTACATAAGAAGAAACGGATTATTTACAACCAAC